TTGCCTTGTGTGCATTGAGATTAGAGAAAGAGAAATTAATATACAGGCATTCAGTGGTTTGTCTGTACTACAAGCAAAACCACATGCAGCAGCTACACTAACAGCTGTGGTGGGCCATTTCTCTGCCCTTTGACCAACTATCGAGCCTTGTTTACTCAGAACAGGCCTGTGCTTCAACAGGAAATTAAGTGAGGTGAGTCATGTTTTGTTCTAATGTTAATGTATTGATTTATTGACCATTATTTTTTACAACCTGCCACTCATCACTGAGCCAAGACTTTATTTAGGCTGTCAGATCTTTTTGCAGATAATCAGGAAATTTACTGCTCTTGACAAAAATATTGGGGGCGGGGGGGGTGAATGATTAGCACCTCCCCCCTCTGACAGCAACTACCAATGAAAAGCAACAACCCACAGAAAAATTCAATAAACACATTCATGACTTGGCGTGACTGGGTAGGTGTAAATAAAATTGAAGTGAATTGTGATTCCACTTAGCTTTTTAAAACAGGTAAAACAGCAGTTAAACCTAGCTTCCTGAGGCTAAAACAGAGAAGAAAAGCCCCTCTGTGTTAACACCTTATTTTGAAGCCCAACCACAAAAATGCTTAAGTTTCCATCCATCATTTGTTTGTTACTGTGACCACGTGTTCGTTCTTTGACTGTTTGTGTGTGAAAGTCCAAAGCAGGAAATACAGTACAAGAAAGTATTAACTACAGTGCATTTGTTTTGTGTAGTATGTGTACTGGAGCTGGACACAGCATTGTGTCAGGGATTCACTGATTTAACTGTATGGTAAGTTTCTATGTGTCAGCTGAATGTCTGTACAAAACAGGACACAAAGTACATCAAATGATTTACTGCAGGGCTTTTGTTTTAAGTGATATCCCTAAGATAAAAAATATGCATGTTAGAAACTCTTAATCGCCTCACGTTGACTGCATTCCTGTGATACTGTGAGAGAACTACTGCCTTTGACCAGCCTCCTGAAGAGAAGCTATTAGTGTCAATACTCACTATGTAGTGAATAAAATGGCTCTAATCGGGTCTAAAATGTACTTTTTTCACTGTGTGCCACTCAGAAAACACTTTTGAAATGCACTAAATAAAGGAATAACATTCAGCTCATTTACACATCATTTAATGTAAACAATGTTGTCATTCAGTGTTCAGTAATACACAATAACAACACATGCATGTTTGCAAGCACAAAGGACCCATGTCTTTCATTACGTGAGAGTGTACTGAAAGACACTGTCTTATTTAACGATCACTAATCAGGTTCAAAGGTACCAACAGATGACAAGAAACACAAAGCACACAAGAACTTTAGGTTCACCATAGTATACAGATAGTGCTCAATACAAAACCCACAGTTCAATCCTCAATGAATGAGTCCTTATCTCAGTTCAAATCTCCACAAGACTCCATATCTCAACAAAATCCTCCCCTTCGGGATCCCAGCAACAAAACAGTTTAAATTTCATACAATAGTGACACCTCTTGCATCTAAAAAACAAAGCTTAGTAATTCTCCAACAACATCAGAGTTACCTCCTGTAGTCAGATCAGTGCTGCTGACATGTTAACCAGCTGTCACTCAGAACAGAATGTGCCTTTTCTACTAATGAATTTGGTTTGGAAAGCTGTCATAGATAGTCCCTGAGCTGACCGGTGGATGCGTGTGTTGTGTTATGCAGGTGCGTGCGCCCATTGCCACAATACGCTAACCTTTGTACATGTGCCTTTCTGTTGGGGGTTTTCCCTGTCCGCCAAAGTGGCGAATGGCCTTGCAAATTTGAGACCCTGGTTGTACTGTTAACCTCTTGTTTTTATCGTCTAGTTTTTACTAAATATGGCAGTGACGTCATAACTGAGCAGAATATAATGTGTTGATCAAACTTAATCTTAGCCCCAACCATAGAAGCCACACTTTACCCACAAAGCTACAGGATAACCCGAAATTTCAGTTGTGTTTAGAGCTCATTTAACAGCAATTTATATGTCCTTGTAGGAAATATAAACTGTTAATTAAAGTTCTGTGTTCTTCTACAAATCCAAAATGTCATACACAGTTCAGGTTCCTACAGTCAATTTTCTTGGAGTTAAGCAGCTGTCCTCCTGATAAATCCTGAGCTCCTTCAAAGCTGTCTAGAAGTTTTTTTTCCGGAGCTAAAAGTTGAATTGTTTCCATAGTCTGTCCTGTCATGTTTTATCTGAAGTTTTTAGTTTTGCTGCTTAGATGTTTCACGATATTTGCTGTGACATTACTGCACGCATGGAAATGTTTAAAATTACAACAGCCTGTTTAATTGTTAACACTATACATGGATGATAGAAATGTGACCCAAAACAAGTTCATCATAGCTTATAATAATGCAGTGCAGTGAGGATACAGCATTTCATCGGACACTAGCTTAGAAAAAGTGGATCAGGGGTTACATACTGTAACCTGGATTCTATGAATATAGGCGCAGCCCTATAAGGCTATCGCTATTGGGTTTACCCCTTCCGCACGCCTGCGCGGCACTGAGAATTTTAGTCTACGTCCACCCATAGCATGGGCCTCTCTTATGTCCGCACCTTGTATATATACAACGGTGAGACCCAGCCTTCGGCTCCCAAATGCCTTTTCTTCAGCACTGAAAACCAAGGTCCAGTGAGGCCTTCAACTTAGAGGGCAGCGCTTATACTCATAGAATGGCGATGGCGCGGCATGGGAGGCCAAGGGCTGACCCATGTGTAAGTCGGGAAACTGGTCCCTTGAACCGCTCCCTGTAGTACACAAACAGCTGCGAACGGCGGTAGGCTGCCGTGCATGCCACATAACAGGACTGCGCTTGCCCCAGGCAGAAGAGGTGGGACGTGGCGTCCTCCACCGACCCATGGGGGGGAGGAAAAAACCACAGAGGGTGATGACACACGACCGAAAGGAGCTTGTAATGCTTTTAGGCATGAACGCCGGGTTAGGGCGCTGAACAGCCGAGCTGCCGTCGCCCTGAGGCACAACGGAGCCACGGAGAGGGCAGCCAGATCGCTGACCCTCTTTGCCGATGTCAGAGCCAGGAGCAAGGCGACCTTAGCCGAAAGGAATCTCAGGTCCGCCGTCTCCAAAGGCTCAAATGGGGCTTGGGTTAATTCACGTAAAACCAGCACCAAATCCCACCGCTTCACCGGCCTGCACCGCCGCACCCCCCTAAGGAAACGCTTCACCGGGGGGTGGGAGAACAAAGTCCTGTCCCCGAAGCCCTTGTGACAGGACAAAATGGCGGCAGCGTAGGTTTTTATCTGCTGTTCGCGTCGGTCCTTTGCTAATCTCCTCTTTCTCTTCCTCCGTCATGGTGGTGGAGTTAGCTGCCAGCTTGATGAAGGAGGATGCGATGAGGGCAACGTTGTTGGCAGAGGCGGAGTTCTGAAAGTGCGGCCGGAACGGGTCTCGCTTAGCCGGCTGGCTGAGGGCGAGAACACCAGCCATTTCATCCGGTGGGGCGAACTCCGGCCCCCAGATTCACTTGTCCAGTCTGCTCTGATGATGGTGAAATTGTCCAGGCTAACCTCTTCATCTGGAACAGAGTCGTTCAGCCACGTCTCAGATAGCGCAATGATGCAGGCCTCCCGAAAGGATTTCTCCACTCTGGCATCTGGCATGTAGAATGTCCATTTTATTCCCGGAGAGATTGCACATTTGCCATCACAACTGAAGGAAGGGGTGGGTTGAAAGGACGCCTCCATAACCTGGTGCGTACCCCTCCTTGCCTTCCTCGTTTCCTCGGCTTGTGTTGGATTGTCAGCTGGGATTACATCCGATGGTTTTAGGCCGAGAGTGATGGAGCCCCAGAAAACGAGAAGATCTTGGCGGGTGTAGGTGAGTTTGTTGCCACTCAACCCATCCGGGTGTAACGCTGCACTTCTGAGATTGCGGGTGCTCAGTAGAAGGATCACCATAATCCACTGCATTTTTCGAAAGTAGTTTATGTTAGCCATGATGGTGAATAGACTCACAGAAAACGTAGACGAGAGGACAAACAAACAAAGACTTGACAGATGCGCACCGGTGACTCGACGTGGAGTGTACAGACTGTCCCAGACAGGAATCCATAACTTCCTAGTCGAGGACAGCGAAGTTATCCTCCCGGCGTTGACGCTCCTCGGGGGAGAGGAGAGCACAGTATGGGCAGCGTGACTCGGGGGTGAGCGCCCACAAGCACCAATCATCTACATTACCACATCTCCATCGCTGGCCCCTCAATACCCAACTCCCAGGCCCCGGATTTGGCTCCTTCCCATGCCACAAACAAAAAACTTTGTTTAGGAAATTTTGTCATTTGTGGTTCTGAGTGAAATATCTCAGCCACTATTGGATGGATTGCAGTGAAATTTTCTACACACATTCATGCCACCCTTAAGATAAACTGTAATTACAAACCTTTGTCAGCTGTTTATGGGTCACCTCCTCGTGATCATCTCAAATAAGTAATTTCTGGAATTGACGAAGACAACCCAAACGCACATTAGCTCTGGTCTGTTAAATGCTAAACCATCTCATTAGGGGAGGGAGCTTTTGTTCAACCTGACTTTCAGCTGCTCTGAAAAAAACACTTTATGGACCCTCGCCTTTGATGCAGCCTGTGAATCTTTTCTCTGAAATACAGGATGTATTGCATTTGAGACATTCCTTGCAAGACATACAAGCAGCTATAGTGGCCATGGTAATTGCTGCTTAAAGTCAAGCACAACGCAAAATAATCACTCAGATAAAGACTAGTGTGTTCAAAAGAAAAGTAAAAAGTGAAAAGTAAAAAATCTCAACATTGGCTGAGAAGAATAAAAGAGAAGTGATATGCACAAAGATCAGGACGAGACCAATGTGACAGGAAGTGTACTTTGCATATTCTGTGATAACCAATGAGATGCATTGGATGGTCTGCCGTATTACAACCATCTCACCTCCTTCACTCACTGAAATACCAACAAGTTTCTTGACAAGAGACAATGTCAAGATGATCCTGTTATGGGTTACACTGCTTGTTCTTCATCAGGGATGTAAGTGTTATTTTATTAAGAATTACATGCCAACTGAAAAATGTAATAATCATATATTTTCCACATAATACACTAATTGTTATTTTATATATTTTATGTTTTCTTTTCATTCAGATACGTTGGTTCCAGTGACCACTGTTCAACTTGGTGAATCTGCGACTTTCACGTGTGTTTTTCCTAAAGAAGAGTTGAGCAGTGTAATACTCCACTGGTACAAGCAGCGTGCCGGGGATACTCTGAAATTAATTATGACGCTGTTGAAATCTGCAAAACCTGAGTATGCACCAGAGTTTGACTCTGAATCAAGATTCAAGGTAAATACTGATAAGAATATTAGCAACCTGACCATTTTGAGGACAATTCAAGAGGATGAGGGAATGTATCACTGTGCAATAACAGATTGGACTGTTCCTGAATGGAGTGGGACATATCTGTTAGTAAGAGGTAATAGTGTGATCTAATTTTACCAAGTTTTAAACTGTCATTAAGCATGTTGAATCATTAACAGTTTTATATCATGCAGGAAACACTCAAAGGACAATAAACTATACTGTCATTAAGGGACAGACAGTATCTAATCCAGACCGTCCAGGAGATTCGATGACTCTCCAGTGTTCAGTCCTTTCTGACTCTGACAACAAGACATGTCCAGGAGATCACAGTGTGTACTGGTTCAGAGCTGGATCAGATAAATCTCATCCAGACATCATCTACACGGATGAAAATGGACATGATGAATGTGACAAGAGATCTTACTCGCAGAAAAGCTGCATTTATCACTTCTCTAAGAACGTCAGCTCCTCTGATGCTGGGACTTACTACTGTGCTGTGGCCACATGTGGGAAGATATTTTTTGGAGATGGAACAAAGCTGGACATTCAAGGTAACTGTATTATTATTCTGTTGTTTAGAAAATATATATATTTAAGAGTTATATATATATTCAGTGTTAAGGTGATAAGTCAAATAAAATTGATCAACTCATTGCTATTTCCTTTTGTAAATTTTCCAGGACCGAGTATTTGGTCAAAAATGACCAATTCAATTAGTTTCCTGCTGTGTGCTGTCTTGGCTATAAGTCTGATTGTTATAGCCTTCCTCATTTATGCCATCAAGACAAGCAAGTCTGATTGTTCTAACGGTAATAGAAGTTACTCAGAAGTTCTCTATTAAACTAAAATTTAATTAAAAGCACTACATCTTTTTTATTGTTATCTATATATGTTCTTTCTCAAAATCCAGCTGCTGTCGTCCTGCAACAAAACAGTGGTTATCAGAAAACTCAACAGGTAAGAATTTAAAGGATTAATCTTATTAAACCAGTTACAAAGCTGTTTTAATTATTAGTCATTTCATGTATTTTCTCAGAGAAATAAGGACACATGGATTTATTCTGCTGTCGTCTTTGCCATGATGAAAGCTGACGGTGCAATAAAGGATGCAAAAACAGCAGAGAAAGAGAGGATCTATGCTGCTGTCAAAGCTTTTGGGTTGGATTAGTAAGCTAACAGGTGTGTTTGTCATTATATTATATATATTATACGTTGGTAATGTATGATCCAGTTAAGTTAGTGATTTGGCTGTCACTCCCCCACCCCCCCCAAAAAATTTAAAGAATGTTATCATTAAACACTTTACTACGGATCCCACCCTCCAACCCCACGAACGTATATTAATACTTTAACTCGCACATATATATATATACTCAGTTTGCTTATACATACTTTACCTCGCGCATATATACATACTCACCTTGCGCATTCATACATACATACTTAACCTCACACATATATACATGCTAACCTTGCGCAAAAATAAATACTCACCTTGCGGATACATACATACTTACAAATGACAGTATGTATGTATGCGCAAGGTGAGTATGTATACATGCACGAGGTATGTATGTATGTATGTAAGTATGTATGTATGTGCATGACAGTATGTATGTATGTGCGAGGGTGTATGTTTGTATGTATGTATGTGCAAGCGAAGTATTACATTTTGGCCTAGGCAGCTTCTCATACCCTTGACTTGCACTACTGATTTGGAGATGGAACAATTTAATAAGAGATGTGCATGTACTTAGATGATTATTTTTAAAGCAGTGTCTATTCTGATGACATGAATCAATTTCTTGTTTCTGTGATAACCAGTTTTTGTGTTTTGTGAAGAACAGGAACTAGAAGTCCATCACCAAAAGCTGTCCTTTTGACACACTGTATGCATGTATTTAAATGCATTCTACTGGCACACACACACAAGCTTCACGCAGTTTTACTAGTTGGCAGTTGGTTGTGTTAACATGCTGAGAAAAATAGAAATGTGGGAAGAAATAAACTTTTAGTTATCAAACATGAACCTAGATGATGAAGTTATAAAAGTTTTGTAAGAAAATGTTTTTTCAAATGTTGGAAAAATGAGGAAATTACACCTCAAGTAAACACACAAAACTAAGATTTTTACAAGAATATTCCATATAGTAACTCAAATGAAAATGGAAAAGAAACTATGCGTGTTAATGAGTAGCTGCTGGCTCCCCACTTTTGAAACAAAACAAAACCCCAGAGTTGTTTTGAATATACAGTATCTCACAAAAGTTAGTACACTCCTTAACATTTCTGTAAATATTTGATTATATATTCTCATGTGACAACACTGAAGAAATGACACTTTGCTACAATGTAAAGTAGTGAGTGTGCAGTATGTATAACAGTGCACGCTGGACACTGCATCAAATTATCAAATTGATCTGCATGGCTGACATCCCAAAAGGAAGCCTCTTCTAAAGATGATGCACAAGAAAGCCCCCGAACAGTTTGCTGAAGACAAGCAGACTAAGGACATGGATTACTGGAACCATGTCCTGTGGTCTGATGAGTCCAAGATAAACTTATTTGGTTCAGATGGTGTCAAGTGTTTGTGGCAGCAACCAGGTGAGGAGTACAAAGACAAGTGTGTCTTCCCTGCAGTCAAGCATGGTGGTGGGAGTGTCATGGTCTGGGGCTGCATGAGTGCTGCCACACATACTGAAGCAGAGCACGATCCCCTCCCTGCAAAGTGTTATTTCTTCAGTGTTGTCAAATGAAAAGATATAATCAGATAATTACAAAAATGTGAGGATTGTACTGACTTTTGTGAGATACTGTATTTGCGGCTAGCTTGCTTTTTTTTATTGTTCCAAGATTTGTTCGATTTATAGACCTTTTTCCACAACAGACATTTTAATTTGTCATACCATGAAAATCACAGGAGAAACTAATAACATTAGTTAAGACATAGTCCTTAATCCTCAGAGTGTGATCTATTTGAAGATCAATCTGTGATCTCTGAATCTCCTCCTATGCAGCCAGCCACCTGGCCATAGCGCCCGTACATTAGTCTAAGTTCCTTCCATTACTCTCAATCCAGCTGCTCCAGCCAGACACAACCAAACCTACACAGAGGCTATAGCCAACATCACTGACCTTCAGGAGAATGCCGCTCTTCTAGACGCTTTTCTTCCAACTGGTCAGCCCCTCAAATCCCAACTTGCAGCCCCTGGATTCGGCTCTATCCCATGCCACAACCAAACCCACTGCACTCTCAAGGAAAGGCAAATCTGCACAAGCAAAACTCAACTCAAAGACCAGCTAGCTAGCTGGCAAATAATTAGACTGCTTTTTCTGATCGAGTTGACATTTGCCTACTTTCAGTGAGCAGTTGGTTGAGTCACCTCTGCTAGAAAATGCATCAACTATGCTTAAAGTTGTTTCATTTGTCTGTTTTTTAAGTAACAACTGCAATAGCTTATAAATTGATAAAAATGTGTTTTTCTATAATTACTATAGGCCTATTTTGCCATATTTGTTTGGTATTTACTTTAAAATTAGAGAGGTTGTTGTAATGGCAGAAATGTGTAATATTTTATGCATGTTCTTCTATTATTACTATTTTTGTTTATGTCTTACATACACACACACACACACATACATATATATGTGTGTGTGTATATATATATATGTGTGTGTATATATATATATATATATATGTGTGTATATATAGTTTGTATCCTTAACATTTTCTTAATATATATATTCTCATTATATTAGTCTATCCACATATGTAGGGTTTAGGTCACAGATGTGAGATTGTTGTTTTTTCCTTTCCTGCCATTCCTCTCCTCACCTTGAATGTTCACTTAAGGCTGGAAGAGGATCTCTGTTCCCCAAAACATAGAAACCCAGACTGTGTAAATGATTATGAATCCCTTTTTTCTGGGCCAGATTTCCAAAGCTGCCCTAAGTGGCAGGTCTCCAGACCAGCTGATTTTCTGTTTTAGTTATTCTCTTTTATTAATAAATTCTTGAAAGACAATGGTTTGCTGTAACAAATTTTTTTGCTCAATCCTTCACCAGCAATATACAATTTCCACAACAGTTGTGATCAGTATAGGCATACGCTCAGGGTGCGATTTGTGTAAAAAACATAGGGGTGGATGTGTTTTGGTTAAATTCACCCCCAGTGAACTGTGGATTTATTGCGAAATTTAAAAAAGTTTTGTCCCCCTGTTTATTATTTAAGTAGGCCTAATAAATATGGAGCGTTATATCGCAATGCAGAGCTGCAGTGAAAACGCAGAAAAGATAGATGTGTTTAACTTTCAGTTGCATTGAGTGGTCGGGCATCTGTGTGGTCGGGCATGTTCAAAGGTGTAACAGGGACACTGGGCTGCTTGTCATCATAGAAACAGATCATTAGATTGTGAAGTTTATTGCAGCTTCAGTAATATCGGCTGTCTTCCCTTAAACACAGCTCCGCTGCAAATGTCTAGTGAGTGTTGATAGGCCATTTTTCGCGACTTGTAGGATAACCAATCAAACAGTGCCATGGGCGGGACATTAAGCAACTTCAGCCTGGTGATTACCTATAGACAGAGAGAGGCAGCTAGCGCATTTTCAAATTAATTTAACCCTAACAAAACTACGGATCGATACAAACCATGAGTTTTGTGATAAGTTGCATCACTATTGAAGTAGCATTGTTCACTCTGAGGGGGGGATACATTTTGTCAAAAATTTAAACCAGAAGTGGGGAAATCCCACGCACCCCCTGTTAATTTCTGGAATTTTGCTGCTTAAAAAGTAAGGCAGTCTCAACATTGGCTATGAAAGCGAGGTAATATGACCAGGACAAGACCACTGAGACCAATGAGACAGGAAGTGCACTTTACATATTCTGTGATAACCAATGAGATGCATTTGATGTCGTACATATTACGTCTCACCTTTTTCACTCACTGAAATACCAACAAGTTTCTTAACAAGTGACAATGTCAAGATGATCCTGTTATGGGTTTACACTGCTTGTTCTTCATCAAGGATGTAAGTGTTATTTTACTATTTAATTTCTGAAATGTACATGCAAAATGGATAATTTAGTATCATAACTTTCCACATCATACACTAACTGTTATTTTATATATTGTATGTTTTCATTTCATTCAGATGCCTTGGTTCCAGTGACCACCGTTCAACTTGGTGAACCTGTGACCTTTACGTGTGTTTTGCATGATGAAGAATTAAGCAGTGGAAAACTCCATTGGTACAAGCAGCGTGCCGGGGATACTCTGAAATTAATTACGACACTGTGGAAATCTGCAAAACCTGAGTATGCTCTAGAGTTTTCTGATTCAAGATTGAAGATAAACACTGATGAGAATACTAGCAACCTCACTATTCTGAGTAAAGTTCAAGAGGATGAGGGAATGTATCACTGTGCAGTGACAGCCTGGATTAATCCTGAATGGAGTGGGACATATCTGTTAGTAAAAGGTATTACTTTTGATTAAGCATGTTAAATTTAACACAAAACGCACTGAATTAACATAGCAACTGAAAATCTGATGCTGTCGCACAAAATTGGCAAAGTAAAAAACTGTCATTTGAAAATATGTATATTTTGTTACACAGCATCATTATTGGATTTACCAATAAAGAGGGGTGTTGTTGGTAGTGGTAATTTGCTCTAACAACAGAGGATGCCCACTCCTGGTGTCTTCAACTGGTGATTAATTACACCAAGAAGGTTTTCACACACAAAGGACACAAGTTCACCCTGACAGTGAACCCAAGAGCACATTACACTTTTGGATTTCAATGATGACTTGGTTAGCATCACCTTTCTGTCTGTCAAGGTTGTCTTTTACATGTTGTTTGGATTAAATCAGGAGTGACAGCAATTTATTGACATGTGATACAATTAATATGAGAATGTGAAAAGTCTTTTGGTGATTAAACGCCAACGGGATGAGATGGAGCTACTTAACAGAGTTTCAGGAGCGGGACCACACATCAATCACATCACTCTTAACATTTCCATAAATACCCACACAACCCACTCTAAACAGAGTTATGATGGAGTCTGTCATGCCCGGGTGCTACAGCAGATTTTCGTAGCTTCCCCACAACACTTTAGCAAGACTTGCACATCTTTTCTGTTTTGTTCATCAATAAATCATTTAAACATATCTGTTCATGGTGTGGTCTTTGCTAGTTAAGTGGTATTTAACACAGGTGGTGATGCCATAGAGGTGATGAGGAGTACTTCTGCTGCGCTTGAAGTGGGCCTGCATCTGATGAGCAGAATGTGAATGGGATGCAGGAAGGCCGCTGTGATATTGACATGAATGAGTTGCTGTGCTGATTGTGGTAAAATCACTCCCATAGTCAACTGTTAAAGGGCAGGAAGAGAAAGAATGTATGAGAGAGAGTTGTGAATAAATGAAGCATAAAGATAGTCTTCCTTGTTGAGCTTACGCTGAGCTTCATAAATCTTAATAGTCTTGTAGGCACTCTTGAAAACGCTTTTTTTTTAATTGTTCCCAGATGCATCTGATTTATAGACCTTTTTTCACAACAGATAGTTTGATTTCTCATACCAGGAAAAGTCAAAAATCAATTTAGCACATTTTTGCCATGTGCGTATTGAGAAACAAAGTGAGAGAGAGAGACTAGTAGACAGACAGTCAGTGGTTTTCATAGTGAACTGCCGTGTATTTGCCGACCACAACTTCCCACAAGAAGCAAACAAAAATATATGTGCAGCATTTTTTTACAGACACAATTCATCTATTTGTTAGACATCATGTTAAATACAATGTACTTTGTAAACAATGTTGGGGGATAACTACTGAAATTAATAAATCCCCACCATCTTTCTGTCTCGCAGTACTTTGTAAAGGCCTTCTACATGTCTGTGCAACAAGCAAAACCACATGCAGCAGCTACACTGACAGAGAGGCTGCGGTGGACTGTTTCTCCACCCTTTGACCAGCCATCAAGGCTGTTTACTCAGAACACACCTGACTATGTGCTTTAACAGGATATGTAGTGAGGGAAGTGTTACATGAGGCTTCAGCGGGCTAAAATTAGTTGAACAAATTGAAATTATTGATTTTGTTTGTCTTTTATTATTAACATGCTCATTTAACAGCTGTGATTGGCTCCAGCCCCGACGACCCTGCACACAGAAAGTTGTTGACGATGACTGAGTTAGTATGCTCATGCAGTGTGTGAGTGCAAATATAGTCTTTAAATTGTGTTTTTAATGATGCAACCAAAGGCACCTACAACCATATGCATTAGCAATTTTAGAATATACAATCATCATATGAGCTGGTGTTTTGTTTTAATGTTAATGTACTTATTTATTCACCATTATTTTTTACAGACTTTTGGCAGATAATCAGGAAAATTTTATTTACATCAAAGTTCAAACTTCACAAAAGAGACAAGTGAAAGATTAGCACCTCCCCCCTCTGACAGCAACAACTAGTGAAAAGCACCAACCCACAGAAAAGGTCAATAAATACAGATAGGCCTTGGTGTTACTGGGTAAGTGTGTATGTGTTGAGCCTCCTGTAACCTTTAACTGCTGTACATTTTTTTAAATATTAATAATAATCAATAATACAGTGTTATTCCACCTGCCTTTTTAAAACAGGTAAAACAGCAGTCAAAACCAGCTTCCTGAGGCTAAAACAAAGAAGAAAGAAAAGCCGCTCTCTGTTAACACCTTTGTTTGAAGCCCAACCACAGCAATTCTTAGGTTTCCTTGCGCCATTTGTTTGTCATTGTGTATGCATGTTTATTAATGTGTGAAAGTAAACAGCAGGAAATAAAGTACATGGAAGTATTTACTATAGGGGCTGGACACAGCATTGTTTCAGTGACTCATTTATTTAACAATGTTCATTGTTTGTGTGTCAAAACTCTAGCAACAGTAGGAAGATTGACTGAATGTGTTTTTATGTCTTTTTGTGTGTGTAAGTACAAAACAGGACACAAAAATGAAAAAAAAATATATGGACATATTCATCCAATGCGAATGTTTCCTGCCAAGCAGTGTGCCATTTGTGTATCATGATGAAAGCTTTACCTTGACTTTAAAGGCCCTACGCAACCACACGTGTTTCCAGTTACCCTGTCTGATTAGACCTTCAGTCAGGTGGAAGGTGGGTGAAAGGAATTACATGATGTCATCAAACTCCCGACGAGTTATGCTGCATACCAGACAATTTGGAACTCGAAAATCTCCAACCTCTACTAGTAAAACTACAATGGAACAACACTCAAACGAATAGAAGGGTGAGTTTATTTCAGTCAAATGCAGTTAGTACACGCCCACACAGTTCTGAGAAGAGGTCTAATTAAACAACAAGTGAAATCTATTTTAGGTTTTATGGAAACCAGGGTACTACCCAAACAAATATGTCGCAACAGTTAACGACAACAACAGAAAAATGTGCTGTATTGTCTTCCTGTCTTCTGTTAGGGGTAATTCTCTTAATTCCCCAAAAGATAAAATGACATGTCATTTAGGGTAATATACTGTATGCGTGTGTCCTGAACAGCAGGACCATAAGTAATAAGTATCACCAGAAAAGTCCTTCCACATATTTTTTTAATATAAAGAAAAATGAACCAGATTGTTTTGGATTACTGTAGTTCACATCAAGATTGTGTTTTTCTTGTGTTTCAGTGTCAGTTGTATAAAACACACCATGAAACAAAAGCTTGATTTTGGTGTTGTTTCATGTGTCTAGGTTGGAAAGATAGTTGAAATTATTTCCACTGTGGTAGAGCAGTGACATGCCAACATAATGACAGGCCAATCAAATTGCTCTGAAATTGTTCCCTCCCACTTGATATGATTACATTAAGGCAAATCTTCCTCTAATACGGTCTAATTTAACTGCAATTACAAGTCGATTAACCAAAAAATGCTGATCGTACTTTATTTACTGCTGATGTTTACAGTTGGGCGTAAGTACATAAAGTCATATTTTTTCCATCTACTGTATATTTGAAATATATTTTTGTGTTCTTGCATCAGCTTAGCACAGTACATATATGAATCTATATCTGTTGTCAATCACTGCTCTATTTTATTTTATTTTTAGGATTTACAGATGATCAGAACTTTGTGACAAAGACTGTTGGAGAAGACGTGACTTTGACATGTACCCGCCAGAAATCAAACTTGTCCCAAGTAACTCTGTTTTGGATCAGACTTGTTTCTGGAGACTTTCCTGAATTCTTGGGAGGAACATTTTCCTTTGACTATGATGGTGTTAATAAGACTTCTCGCATTACAGTAAAACAAGAGCCTGGAACCTTTCTTCTCCATATTAGTCAAACAAGCTTAAGCGACACTGGAGTTTACTACTGTATAAAAGTAAACCGACTTGACATGACATTTGTGAAATCAACCTTTCTAAGAATTAAAGGTAAACGCCCTGTATAAGTGCAGGTTACATAGTTTAATTTTCACACATGTATAAATAAAAATGGTGATAAAGGTTATTTTTCCAGAATTTATATAAAAGTGTTTATGTATATAAATTAATATTTTTAACAACATTTATTTTCATGAAAGTAAGTAAAGCATGTTTATTTTCATCTGTATATTTCCCAGGACCAGAACCAGATGTCACTGCAGTGATTCAAGTCCCTCCATCTGATCCAGTCCATCCAAGAGAATCAGTGACTCTGCAGTGTTCAGTCCTATCTGACCCTGAGAACAAAACATGTCCAGGAGAACACAGTGTGTACTGGTTCAGAGTCGGATCAGAGTCTCATCCCAGTATCATTTACACTCATAGAAACAGTGGTGATGAATGTGAGAAGAGTCCTGAGGCTCGATCTCCTCAGAAATGTATCTACAACTTCTCTAAGAACATCAGCTCCTCTGATGCTGGGACGTATTACTGTGCTGTGGCCACATGTGGAGAGATATTATTTGGAAATGGAACAAAACTGGACACTGAAGGTAACTGCTGAACATTTTTGGTTCAGTCTCATTTCTGAAAACATGCCTGAATTCTTTGGAGGAACATTTGCCTTTGATTTTGATGTGTTTAATGAGACAGACATTACAGAAAAATAAGCGCCTGAAGCCTTTCCTCCTCCTGATTAATTATAAAATTAAGTGAAACTAAGCAACACTGGAGTTTACTACTATATAAAAGTAAACCAACATATTTGTTCCTCGTGCATTGTTACATTATCAAAATAATAAGTAACTTCCATAATAGGTAACTTTCATTATTTTCTCCTTTTCATGTTGTTTCAGCACTCAACATGTGGGATTTGCAGAAGGCCAAAACAGTTCTGTTTCTGTTGTGTGCAGCTTTGGCGATAAGTCTGATTGTTATTGTCTTTCTGATTTATTTCATCAAGAAAACATCTTGTGATTGTTGCAAAGGTAACTGAAGTTTCACATAGATCAACCTATCAAACAGTATTTTGCAAAAGCTAACTTCACGTGATTTATATTACTGATTTGTGTAAATGAACGTACAGTATCTTTAATCTTAAATCTCTGTTTTTATTTCATAACACAGCTGCCAGTGCTCTGCAAACAAATGCTGCTACAGCCAATGTAAATCAGCATAGTCAGGTTAGGTATATAAAGAAAAGATGTCACTGAAAACATTTGCGGCATATTTTTCTGTAAACATATGTAAAGATTAATATCTGCCATCTCATAACATATTTCTATATTTCCTCAGAGAGATGAGGAATCATTGGCTTATTCTGCACCAACCTTCGCCAAGAGGAAAACTGGCAGAGCAGAGAGAAGGAATGTAAAAGCAGCAGAGGGAGAGACAATCTACACTGATGTCAGGCCTTATTTGATGGATTAACAACCCACTGGATTTGAGGGGAAACATCCTTCACATCAATTTCACATCTGATATTGGTGGCAATATTTTAAATGGATAACCTTAAAAATGTTAAATGTATCATTTTGACATATTTCTTTGTCCAGTCTGTTAGCAGTCATTGCATGACTTTTTCATCCCATTTTATAAAATGGCATGGATTATCATGATGTTTTATCATGCAAATATATCCACATTTAATAGTTTTAATGACTATGATGATAATGATATGCGCATTGCATATCTATAATTCTTGTTCTGAGTTTAATATATAATGCTAGCACTTCAAAGAGAAAGAGGGTTAAGGAAGGTTTCCTTTCTGTTTCTTTTTTCTGATGTGCATTTTTTAGGCTGTTAACATCTGCTATATGTATCAGTGCAATGCAAAAATTAATGTACAAATTGATGTGTGTATTTTGTGTGTTATTTCGTTCCTTAAAATACATATTTACATTAAAATAAGTAATATAAAAACCTGTTTACCTTTTAAAAACGTTTTAGCATGCATTGTGTTCACTTTCTTTGTTTTTATAACAGCATCATTTTTTGTTTCCATGATTTGTTTATTTTCCTGTCATTGCAGGATGCAACTAGTTAAAGGTTCAGTGTGTAAGTTTTAGTGGCAGTAGTACAGCTACTGTGCCTGAGACAGGACAAAAGATGTTGTCTGTGAGATAGCAGAAAGTTCAGTCAAGAAGTTATTGCCAGTCAAGAAATGAGGTTTCTTTACATAGATATAAGAAATTATATTTACTTAATCATTCAGTAACACCATATGGTTTATAAGGCCATTATAAACCACTTAATACATTTACAAAGGCAATGTTAGGTGAGGATCAAGGCTCCTCTTGCTTTGCTGAATTAGCTAAGCATGCAAATCAATGCAATGCAAATTCTGAAAATATTCATTATTGGTCACTTGATTGTATCTGTAACGTAACTGGCAAAGCCAAACCACAGGCTGGAGAATAACTAGGCTACATGAAATTAATCCAACTACATATTTTACACCACTGAGAGGGGAAACACGTCACTTCTCTCGGTGATTATGCCCATCTTCAAGCCAAAGATATAAAAACAACAGTTTTCATTTGCATTGTTAAAGTCTGACTAACTTACCTGTCCAGCAGAAAACAGACAACTTCAGCACTGCTTTGAAAACATCTGTCCCACATCAGAGCCTTCCATCTGGAAAAATCCACAACGATAAACTCCGTCTAGCTCATGCTAAATAACATGTGTGCTCCTTCATTTGTCCAAATGTCACTTCTCTTCTTAGTTTTTATTGTTATTATTATTTCCTCTTGTTCTTCGTACATATTCAATGTAGTGAATGCCGGAATTATACAAGCAGAAGAACACTGTGATGACGAAATGCGCTCTGTAGCGCTGTTTGTCCGTTGTTGGCTACTGTAGAAACATGGTGACACAATATGGTGACCTCCATGGAAGAGGGGACCCACGGTTACGTAGATAGAAATGGCTCATTCTAAGATAGTAAAAACATGACGGTTCATTATGTAAGGTACATAACATATACACCACTGAAAACATAGTAATGGATTGCATTTCAATCAATAAATCCTGTCAATAAATCCTCAGAATCTGTCAGGATTTGGAGGTGAGCACAGAGGAGGTGAGATCCCAAATGCAAGACACCAAGGCAGAGCAGATGCAGTTCAGGGTATTTAATCCAAATGCGAAAAGGTACAGGCTTACACTTAGTTGACTGGAAAGCCCAAAATCCAAAATAGCAGAAAACAGGCAGGAGGCTTCACACATGAGTTGTCAGTTTTATGTTTAGAGTGTGAAAACTACACATGACAATGACCGGACAGAGACTGAACAGAAACAGCAAACATTTAACACCAGGGACTAACGATCTGGGAGGGGATACACTGGTGAAAGATATGAGGGACTAATCAAGCACACAGACCGGTAGAGTGACAGTAGGGGAAAACAGACAGATACTAACAGATGCAAAACACAAGACCATACATTAACTGGAACTCAAAGTGTTTAGTGGACATGCAAGCAGAGGAATACACGAATACACTAACAAGGAACCCAGAGTGAAGCAAAGATAAAGCGGAACTCAGATTAGACATGGGCATAACACCACTAAACACCAGCTGACAGATAATAACCATACAAACAACAACATAGACTACATAACAGATACAGAAGAGACTGAAATAACAAAACTAAGAACTAAACAAGGCAGGCAGGCACACAGCGTGACAGAATCATCACACACTGGACCTTTAAGAAGTTTAGATAGATTAAATATTTGTTTAATGTCTCCAAAGCAGTAGTAAGAACAAATTCTTTAAAGTCCCAAACATCATAATACATTTTTTTTCTTACTTTGAATTTTACACAACATGGTGACCGCTAACCGCTAACATCCAGGACACCGTGTTTTGGGACCCCTCTAGTCTTCCCAGGCTTTCATCCTGCTCGACTCCGAAGCATCAGTCAACCTGGGCTGAAGTGGTGGTCCGTGGCTGCAAGAGAGGCTCGGATGGGGCTGCCTCTCCTCCGCACATCGGCCTCTCCAACCGCTATGCAGCCCTGTCTAACGACACTCCGGTCCATCCAGCTGATGCACCTGCGGCTTCGAGTCTCCCTGATACGGATCTCTTTCGGCGCACAGTGCCTGCCGACACTGTTGCATCTCCTCCACCGGCTACATCTCCTGCACTGGGCCGCCGGTCTGCCGCCGGGCCTGATCGGCGGCCGTCATCCCGGTCAAAAATCTCCGCTTCCCGACGTAGGATCCTGAAGGAGGCTGTGCTCAGACGCTCCGGAGGCTGTCTCTACCCTGCACCGTCGGGTAGCCCTTCTCTCAGGTCTGTTACTGCTACTCCAACACAACACTCGGCAGCTCACACACTCCATCCTCAGTCCGCACGCAGTGTTGAAGCAAATTCTGCTCAGTCCTGCTCTGGAACCCCACAACCGGCATCTCCTCGTCCTCTTTTCTCCCCAACCACACTAATAATTGGTGACTCCATAACCAGAAACATCCGTTTCTTTAACGCTACCACTCACTGCTTCCCCGGTGCCACCACGGCTGACATTTAAAAAAACTCCAGGACCTGATGCCGTCGCTCCCGTCCTCCATCACAAGAGTGATAGTCCATGTCGGAACAAATGACACAGCTCTTCGGCAGTCTGAGCTGACAAAATTAGATTTTAACCGTCTTCTTAACTTTTTAAAGCAGTGCGGAAAGTCCGTTTTTATCTCTGGTCCCATTCCCACAGTTGGTCGCGGTGCTGGCCGCTTCAGTAGACTCCTTGGCCTCCACGACTGGCTCCAGTCCGCCTGCAGGGCTCACCGTGTGTTTATGTGGATAATTTTAATATTTTCTGGCAAAGAATGTCTCTTTTTAAGACAGACGGACTTCACCCAAACAAACGGGGCTCAGAAATGTTAGCTGCTGACATACAGCATGTGGTGCGGTCCACACATGACTTACGTGAATGACTAATCATTCATGCAGCACACCTGGACACACCACCGCTCACTGAACAGATCTCTGCCTCACTGCCACTAACAACCGTCTCCACCTGCTGGCATGTAAAGCCGTCTGCTCCCAGCGCTGTTCCACAGACTTCTATTCCTGTCATCATCACGCATAGACCAGTAAACCGAAATGTGCACATCCCACACAGAAATATTAGTAATCTCTTAAGGATTAGGACAACTGCACCAACTCCAGCACCCAGAACAAACTCATTTAAAATGGCTCTCTTCAATGTGAGATCACTTTCAAGTAAGACTTTTATCTTAAATGATTTTATCTTGTCTGCAAATCTAGATTTTATGTTTTTAACTGAATCCTGGTTGCAAATGAATGACTATAGCCAGCTAGCTGAACTGTGTCCGCCTCAATATGATTGCTTTAGTCAACCGAGGGTCAGTGGTCGTGGTGGTGGGCTAGTGAGCGTGTATAGGAAAAATTTTAAATGTCATCAAGTACGCTGTGATGAATTTAACTCCTTTGAAGTTCTCACTCTTAAAGTTGGAGGGCGGCAACCTATCATATTTGTTATAATTTATCGCCCCCCAAAACCGCCTGGAGGATTTTTATCAGAACTTCCTGAATTTTTATCTACTCTGGTTTTAAATTATGACAGAATTGTTCTTTGTGGCGATTTTAATATTCATGTTGATGACCCCAACAATGTTAATGCAACTGACTTTTTATATATGGCCACTTCTTTTAACTTCAAACAACATGTCAAAGGCAAACACATAACCGTGGTCATACACTGGACTTGGTTTTTACCCTGGGTGTCAGCATTTCCTCTGTGGAATTAGTGGACATGACCATATCTGACCACAGATGTATTGTTTTTAGCTGCGATTCGCCTGTTACTCATGCCGCCTCACCAAGCTCCGTGTGTTGTCGCATCTTTAATGAACAAAGTGTTTCAAAGTTTTGCGCATTCTTTCAGAGCCAAAGCCAACACCTGTCTGATTCCAACACCAACAATCTGGTCGATCACTTCAATCATATCTGCTTGTCGTCACTAAATATTACTGCTCCTCTAAAGGTTAGGCCTACGTCTAAAGCTAGTAAGCAACCCTGGATAAATGACAGCATTCGCAGCCTCAAAAGGGAATGCAGGAAAGCAGAGCGCAGATGGAAAAAATCCAGTCTCCAAGTCCATTACCTCAGTCTGAAGGATTTATTAATTAACTACAATAAATGGTTAAGGATGCGAGAACACACTATTTTTCTGAACTCATTACTACATATAAACACAATCCCAGGTTTCTGTTTAAGACTGTGGATCAGCTGGTAAACCCAACCCCTCCTTGTGCCTCAGCTGGAAGTAATGATGACTGTGAATTGTTTTTATCTTATTTTACCAATAAGGTGTTGTCAATCAGAGCCTCTATTACCCCCGTGGACTCTTACTCAGAGGTCCCTCACCAGCAACAACAGAGTTTTAACCAGTTTTATCCCATCGACTTGTCTGAGCTTTTAAAAACAGTATCACAAATGAGAGTGTCCTCCAGCCCACTTGATGTAATACCTACAAAGTTTTTACTGAAAGTAATAGATTCTGTTGGGCCCCATTTGATCTCTGTTTTCAACAGCTCCCTATCTACTGGTTGTGTCCCTGATTATTTTAAAACGGCTTGCGTGAACCCACTTTTAAAGAAACCTGGTTTAGATCCCTCCCTCCCACATAATTTTAGACCAATTTCAAAACTGCCTTTTATTGCAAAGATTCTAGAAAGAATTGTGTCCAAACAGCTGCTCACTGTGCTGGAAAATAACAAATTATTTGAAAAGTTTCAGTCTGGTTTTAGGAAGTACCACAGCACTG